GCTGCATGGTTTCTTGTCCACATCTGGCAGGAGAAAAGGAGTTTCTGCCCAGCATTCTGGAAAATTCTAAAACTCCCAGTAAATGGCCCCCATAGATCACATGCTTATGCCTGAATTAGTGACCATGATCCTGGATGACCTTGGATGAAAAAGTGTTGACTAGTATAAATTGAACAGAGTCCACTCCTGAACCTGGAATAGGGTCGCATCTTTTTCCCAAAACTCTAAGTACTTTCAGGAAGTGGGAATCACTCAGAGAATGGAGGCTGGTTACATAACCACAATGTCCACTCCAATAGGTCATCATCAATCTAGGAATTTGGAGTTGGCAGCAACAGAAACAGACAACAGAATGGGAGACAGGAAAAATTAGGGTGTTATTATTTGAAGAAAGAGGAAGGGTGCTGGACAGGCAACACCACTTACAAATATCCACTAGTTATTTCATAGATGGACCCAATATGAATTTATTTAACCCAACAATGAAATTTGAGGTCGTAAAGAGCAGAGGAAAAGGGAGTGTGACAGGAAGGTGGGAAGTGAGAGTGGGCCCAAACAATGCGGCCTTCATCAGGAGACGCAGAGAAAGGTCTGCTGGTGGGAAATTCTTATTAGGAATGTGAGCGAAGACTTTGAGGAACAAAATAGTAATGACACAAGAATAAACACACGAGCAAACAAGCAGTATAACAATAAAGAGTCCAGAAGTAGATCCAAGTATCTATGATGACTTCATATGTCAAGGGTAGCATTTACTTACTTACTTAATTATTTTAATTATTTATATATTCATTCATTCATTCATTCATTCATTCATTCCAAGGGTAGCATTTAAATTCCCCTGGGAACAGTGTAGTTTATTTAGCAAATGGCGCTGCATAACTGGCTCTCCATCTGGCAGAAAACAAAGTTAGACCCTAGTTCATACACACACAAGGCTACGTTCCAGCAATATTAAAGGTTTAAATTAAGAAGAAGAAGAAGAAAGGACATGAGAATATTTGGTTGGGGCATAAGGGAAACCTTTCTAACGCCGAACCCCGAGCGTGCTGCCGCTCTCATACCGCTGCTTCCATTGGTCCCTCGTGGGCAACGTCCCTGGATAACCAGCCAATGAGAATTGAGCATGGGCGGCGCGCTCGGCCAATAGGGCCAAAGCAGGAGATTTGAAAGGGCCTCGGCGGGAGCGCGGAAGGGGCGAGTCAGTCGTTCGCCGGCGGCCAGGAGGTTGGCGGTGCCACGGGCCTCGGGTGAGCAGACCTCCTTTTGCGCCGGGAGAGGGCTGGTGATCAGGGGGATCTGGGGTCCGTTGGGCGCGCATCCGACCGGCTCCTGTGCGCCCCGGGATAGAGAGAGGGTCCTGGAAAGGGTTGGGGCGTGGAGCAGGGCAGGGCAGGGCTGTCGGGGCCAGCGGCCCGGCGCGCCCGGAGCGATCGGCGTGTTTACCAGCCCCAGGCAATCGCTTCCGGCTAGATCAATCCGACCCTTCCCTTTCTCGCTCCCTCTTTTTTCTGCTTCTCACGACTCTGTTTCCCTTTGCTCAGCTCTCCTCCCCTTTCCCCTCTAAGGATGACTCAGAAGGAGAACGCCTACCCGTGGCCCTACGGCCGGCAAACGGTAAGGGCTTTGCTACTTACCCTTCCCCGACCCGCATGGCGAGTTCCTGCTTGGAGAGGTGAGACCCTGCAGAAGGCGATCTCCAAGCACTTCCTTTGCCATTGTGCTCCCGGAGTTTGCGGCGGCGCTTGGTCTGCTTATCTGCAGCCACATCCCGCCAAGGGTTGCCAGCCTGAATCTGAGGACCTCCGGGCTTAACCTGCCTGTTCTATACAAACGGTAACTGAGGCCGAGCCGCCAGCGTCGGCCCTTTAGGCCACGATTACCAACCCTTGTCCTGAAAGAAACAGGCTTAATTGTTTTGGAATTTATTTTAAAGACGGGTGTGAGATAAGGATCTAAACAGATTTATTTTTCCGGTTGTTCCAACACCTTTCATTGAAGAATCTACCCTCTGATTTGAAATGCCACCTTTATTATTATATTCAGTTCCCACAACTATGTGGGTCTATTTCTCGACTCTGTTTTGTCCAACTGGCTTATTTGTAAATTCTATACTCATATGTTCCCTGGGAACAGGCTTTTCGGGCCCCTCAGACTTTCTTCCTCTCTTGGCTAAAGGAGGAAGGCAGGCAGATGTCACACAAGCTTTGCTCCATGTGTAGGGCTTGGGTATCCTGGAGGGTCCCTCTGCCCCCTGTCCACCAGCTCCCTCCCTCATGGAGTACTGAGTCTGTGAGAGTGGAGGCTGACTGACAAACCATTGTCACTTCTACAATGGTCACTCCCAAAAGACAGTTTTGTATATTTCCCGGAATTTGAAAGTGGGAAGTGGTCCAAAGTCATCGGAGTATTCCCGTAGTGTCTAAAGTCTGTTGTTTCAAAGGGGTGAATACTGGCATTTGCTGAATAGTCAAGGCCTCCAGGACCTTATCCAAGCCTTAATAGACTGAGATTTTTTAAAAAATGTTTTTAATAAATAGTACAGTATATATATTTTTTGTGTCTTTGAAATCCATGTCATTGCATATATCAGAAGTTTATTCTTTTCCATTGCAGTGTAGTGGTCTGTTAATGTGAATATGCCGTAGTTTATTTACACATTGGTAGACATTTGGGTCGCTTCCAGGTTTTGACTGTTATGAATTAAGCTGTTGTGACATTTTTGTGCATCTCATTATTGATTTTGAGAGAGAGAGAGAGAAACATCTATGTGAGAAATGTCTCTTGGTTGCCTCCCACACATGCCCTGGACCAGGGATCAAACCCACAACTTGGGTATGTGCCCTGACCAGGAATGAACCTGTCACCTTTTGGTGTACAGGACGATGCCCAACCAGCTGAGCCACACTGGCCAGGGTTGAACTGAGATTTTTAGGGGACTGAGAAGGTCTCTGTGCTAAAACTCCTTGAATTCTGGATGTTCCTTACCCCAGCCTCCTACTGCCCCGGCGGGGTGGAGAGCTGGGCGAATCGGTCCAGTTATGAGGTTATGAATAGGACCATAGAGGTTGGACAGCTTCATGCTTGAGAATGTGGTGCGGGCCAGGCCCACGAGGTGAAATGTTAGGTATTGGGGTAAGTCCTTTGCTCCGTATCTTAGGCTGACTTGGCTTGTGTATGAATAACGCATTAATATGGGGTTCTGAGCAGATTATTGGGGCTGAACAGCAATAGTGGGGTCTCACTGTTCCTCTCTGAACTGGGGTTGGGTGGGTGGGGGTGGCTCCGTAGCAAGTACTGAAGTGCTGCTTGCAGCACATTCCAAACCGGTCACTGGGACAAAGGCATCCTCAGAGCCCCCTGTGCTCCTTCTCAGGCTCAGTGTGGCCTGAACACCCTGCCACAGAGAGTCCTCCAGAAGGACCCTACCACCCCGTCCTCGCTCGTCCTCATGAGCCGCTCCAATGCCCAGCCCACAGGTAACTGGGACTCGGGGAAGAGGATTGCCTGAGGGGACTCGAGTCTGGGAGGGTGCAGGGATGAAAATGTTAAAGGACAGCCTCAACCTACCGGTTCTTTTCCTAGCTGCCCCTGGCCAGAACAGCAATGGGACACCCAACTTAATGTAAGTGCCCACGCCGTGGGGTGGCAAGGGTGAGGGTGGGGCGGGGAGCAGGTGGGAAGTGAGGGAGGTGGAAGCTGAGGGCAGGAGGAACAGGGATGCGGCTGGAAAGCCTGATCTATCTTCAGCTCCCTTGGGAGAGAAGCGGGGGCTGAGGAGCAGAGAGAAGGCAGACACCTCAGGTCAGGGGTCCTCAAACTACGGCCCGCGGGCCGCATGCAAATACAAGTATTGTATTTGTTCCCGTTTTGTTTTTTTACTTCAGAATGAGATATGTGCAGTGTGCATAGGAATTT